GCAAATACCTAAGAAGTGCCACTTTTTGGTGTGGTACCACGCATGCAACTTAAGATCAACCGAATTTCTCAGATTTATGTTAGTACGGCTGTGAGACACTGCAATGTCGATTTCAACATTTGTTGCTAGGTAAACTTTGTAAGGCACCAAGTAAAAATAACATATTTATTTTACATCCGAAGACTTCTCACATGAATTCACATTCATAACATTGTATAATTCAAACAATAATAATTTGTTCTTTAGCAGAGTTTATGGAGCGCAATCATTTGTATGGTATATTTTAAGATCATTTTGTTAAAACAGTAAAATGCAAGGTTGATTTTACTGTATGATAGAACTATTTAAAAAACATTTATAATATTTTGTCAGGATAATAATTATTCAGCATTAATCAGAAATATGAGACATTATATAGTTGTTCAGCTTGACCTCACAAATGAATCGGTGCTCTTGTTTCAAATAGAAAATATATGATCACATATCGCTAATACGTACAGTAATTATATTTCGATAATATTGTCTTTAAATTATACCATGGAGTGTTACAGTTTACATTTTTAATGAATAATACACGTTTAATACTTATATTAACTTTAAGAACATTCACTGACACCGTTCACTGTACACACTTACGTTGTAGAGAACAGCCGTCCATCCTTCCATGGTGATGCACTGGAAGACGGTGAGGACGGCAAACAGGATGTTGTCAAACTGCGTGATGCCATCATTCGGGCCGATCCACGTGTCGTTGCAGTCGTATCTCTCCGGACACTTCCGTACGCCGCATGCAAACGCCAATTCGGATGAGTCTACTGTCTCGTTGTCTGGAAAAATAATACCTGAGTGTTACTACGGGTTGGAAAGCTAGATTCCCACAGCACTGACCTCACCGGGGTCCTGAGCATGCACAGACGGACACACGTGAGGAGAGCATCAACTGTCATGTTGCATGTGATGTACATTCATGCCACTCATGTTCGTTCCTCCATCTGTCGAATATCACGGAGTATCCACTCCACTGTTGGACCCTTGCAAAGCCCGGAAGAGACCCTCTGCTGTTGTTATTGTCACTTAGGGTGCTACAGTAAAAATATTCAAGGCCATTCCTCTCAGTTACGCCCTTCCAGGTCTCACTGTCACTGCCCATGTGAGCATTGAAGTCCCCCAGCAGAACGAGGGAGTCTCCAGCGTGAGCGCTCTCCAGCACACCCTCCAAAAACTCCAAAAAGGGTAGGTACTCTGAAATGCTGTTTGGTGCATAGGCACAAACAATATTCAGGAACCTTCTCCCCACTCGAAGGCGGAGTGAGTCTACCCTCTCATCCACCGAGGAGAACCCCAATGTACAGGCACCAAGCTGGGGCACGATAAGTATGCCCACACCTGCTCGGCGCCTCTCACCTCCAGAATGGAAGAGTGTCAAACCCCTCTCAAGAGAACTGGTACCAGAGCCTACGCTGTGCGTGGAGACGAGCCCGACTATTTCTAGTCACTATATCTAGTCATGGGTGCCCTGTGAGCTGGGTGGCAACAAAAGGCCTTGGCAGTCCAATCCTGGGCCACAGAAACAAACTCTAGGGACATGGAATGTTTTTGTGACATTTTCCTATTTATCATTTACATTAAATGCATTAAAAAGCACATTAAACACATTAAAAGCTAGGACATGATGAGGACAAAGTTTACTGTGAAATGTAGAATTCTATTTTTTGTCCCCACACATTGTCAATTCCCGGATTTTTTTTCCTAAATAAAGAAAGTGCCCAATGTGAAACTACTGTGTCCAATTTCTGTTTTTAATTATTCCCTTCATTGAATTTTTTGCACTTTATTTTTGCTGAAAAAGAACACGTTCAAAATGATCACCTCACAACAAATATAAGACAAGAGGATGCCAAGTGTTTTTCAACTATTATGCGTGTTCAGGGAATCAATACAAAAACAAAACATTTCTCCCCCTTCATTGCACTTCTCTTTCTGAGGGGAAAAAAAACAAGCGGTAAAAAAAATTTCATACATTAAGTGCAAACAATCACGAAAGCCTGCAGTTAAAAAAAGATGCCACCCAGTGCATAATAAACTGTTTTGCTTCCAGGTTTTTGTGAGCGAGTCCACCGAGCTGCTCTGCATGTACGCTTGTGCTGTGGGCGCTGGTGGGCGGGCAGATCCGAGCCAGCTTGCTTGTTTGCGTTGCTCCGTCACATGGCCGCCAGCACAACACAAGAGAGGATCGGGTGAGGCGACCAAATTGAGCCTGCTCGGGGCTGAGACAAAGAAGTACGGCTGTCCACTGTTGCACGAAACCACAGCAGTGGATAAACCATTGGAACTGAAACGAAGGTATTTCTTTCATCGTGCA